ATATATATATTGTATATACTGTATATACTGTATATATGTGTCTATATATATGTGTATATATATTGTATATACTGTATATATGTATATATATACTGTGTGTATATATATATATATTAATTATACTGCTCAGCTCCATAGACTCTCACTCGCATCGTTTTCGATTTTTCTCATTTTGAAGCTGGTTCGAGATACGTTTCTAAAACGTTACGTTTTCATATAAAAACCTGTAGAGCTAACATTAGCAGAGTACGTTAGCACATTATTCTAGCATTAGCACTTCTATGCTTTTCAAGCTACTAAAGGTATCCTGAATAAATGCTGCTTTTGCTTTTTAATGATTTTAACAGTAAATAAAGACCAAGACCTACCCGGCTTTAAAGTAACAGGGTTGTTCCTTAATTTCATTGTCTTCTGTCTTGTTCGCCAGGTGACTTTTACACTGTGATCCGTAGACTTTAGCTTCTATCTTTATCTTTTTAACCTGTTTTGGCTGCTGAATCAGTTTGACATCCTGGATAAATCCTTCAAAGACATTGTAGACCCATTGAAGTAACTTTTTTGTTTTTTCAAAAGTTAGATCATATTTAGTCAGGGAGTGCAGTTAGTGACAGTGTGGGCTCCATGGTAGCTCTGACAGCTTGACTGAGTCGCAGAGGGGGGTGGTGCTTAATAGAGGTAATTTTCAGCAACATCAGATGTGTAGTCTTATCAGGAGCTTATCTACAGTTTTCTCGTTTAGGATTTCGGTGCTACAACTGAGTCCAGAATGTGGAATAGAATTGACAAACTTCACCGGTCAGACGGGGATAAAATGTAAATAGGTGACTCATCTTCACACCGCCCTGTGGCATTTTGCTGAATGTGTAGTATCGGTAGGAATTATTTTAAAACTTGAACTTTTAATTAAAACGCTGAGACGCTGTTGGTCGGAGTTTGATGAAACTGTGAGGGATATTACATTTGAGCGCAGTGTTCTCGTAATTAGAATATCAGCACTGACTGGCCCGAAGGCTGAAGCCGAAGATTCAACTTTTAGTGACGACACATGGCTCATGATTACCTGTGTCGTTCAGGAGTCACATTAACACTGTTGGATTGTTACGGCAGATTTTATTTATGTCAAGGTGGAAGCATTCTGGCAAGATCTAATCAGACTCGGACAAATTTCAGTACTTTTAGTTCCAGCAGTCCTCGCATCCCATTCTAATGGCACGGACTGTGTTTTGGGTAATTAACATTGCAGATGTATGAATTAAGGGGGTGTGGTGCATGCTGCTGGGAGGACATGGAAGGCAGCAGGGTGGGGGCAGTAATCCTGGAGCATTGTTGACAATAAAAGTAAGGTGCAACTCCGCTTTCGGGCATCTCTCTCTCTCATATCCTCTTCCCTTCAAGAGAAGCAGTGTGCCGTGAAATTGCGATCTAAATTACGAGGCTAGTGTTCTCTGTGTGAGGGTTTTAAAAAACGACCCGCTTGGCTGCTAAGGACATCGGCTGGACCACAGCAGTCAGCAGCAGACGATTCGCCGGCCCGACTTCGGTTCGAGTCCGGTCCACTGTCGTCGATAGACAGAGAGAATGTTTCCCTTTATCGCCTGACGGAGGATGAGTCGGTTATATCAGCTTCATCGCTGTGATCATTATCAGCTGAGGCCCATAACAGAGATGGTGACGATTTTGGAGTTGGTTATAAATCAGGGCTGCTTCCCCTGTTTGCCTGCCGCTTGCTCTCCTCTCCTTTCTCCAATGAGAGGTTGTCTTTATTTGAATAATAAGCTTCTTATCTCGGGGAATTACTATTCTGCTGGCCACTGCATCCTCTCTACATCACTCTGTCTCTCTCTTCCTCTCTCCTCCTCTTCTACTTGCCCTTAATCATACCCCCC